TTGGAATGTCATCGATCTCTCCACTTTGGAATGAATTCCGCTAACTTAATAGTATCGCTCAAGTCCTCTAGTTCACTCTCCTACAACATAACAACCCTGGGAGGCAGACTTCTATGCAACCTAGGAGAATTGATGTAATGTAAGTCATAGACCACATGTCCATTTTGTGTTTGTCTCTGTTTATATTTTAATTGATTATTCACACAATTATTAGGCATCAAATATGTCCATTAAATTTAAATCTATCTTATACATGTTTCTAATATGTAATATGGAAACTTTACTTCCTTTCAGGTTAAACCTCATATATTCAAGGCAATTATTATGAGCCCTAGTCATTAGTCCGTATAAGAAGCCCCAGTGTTATATTTGATGATTAGTTATTGAAGAAATAATTCAGCAATTGAAGCTTCTGTCATATCTTTCTATTCCACAACTCTCTCTTCCCCCATATCTAAAATCCTAACTCGAGTAAAGTGTTTAAGCCAAAAAAAATCTGAAAGACAAACCAAGAAATCCACCTCACTTTAACACGTTACCGTGCTCACGCACTGCTTTAGTCCATTGACAGATCAAGATACAGAAACAGCAGATAGTTATTCTTCTAATAGCTGGAAACGCATCCAGTGTTCTTCAAAAAGTGAATAAACCGATGAATCTAGTCTTGTAACCGGCAAACAACACCATAATATAAACTCCACCCAGCTCAAATCTCCTTTTTTTCCAAAGAGATGGGATTGCTGAAGTTAAAAACCGTTCCATTCCTAGACGGATAATTACTTACAAATCCCTTAACAAGAAGTAATTCTACAAAGGTGCAAAACAAAGTACCTTGTGAATACATTTACTTACAATGCTGCAAATTAATGAAAGAACTTTCCTGATATTCAAAGCACTTCGAAGGCAAAATGAAAAAGACAAATTTTAAAACATAGCTTATGAGCAGGGTAGAACTTATCCTGCTATATCCTTCAAAGTTTTATATGGATCAACTTCTAATAACAATTCTATTAAACAGCAGTGAAAGAGGAGAAGGATAAGCAATTTGTTAGGAAATCCTTTTTTTTTAGGAGATACTACTATAAGCAAATACGATGAACATGCAAAATAATAATAAAAAGATCAAACACTACATGAAAACACCAAGATTTACATAATTCAACAAAACTAAGATAGCATCAATGGAAGAAGAAAATGATAGGATCCATTAAACAGAAGCCACACAAATGTACAAAATAAATTATGCACAAAGAAAAACTCATCTCTAAACCAAATTATGCCTAATCTCACCATAAAAAAAGTCTCAACTTTTCAGCCAAAAATACTAAAAAAAAGAGAAATTCGAAAAAAAGAAATGACAAACAAAGAGCATTTAAATAATATCATAAATTACATACTTAAATGCTCCAAAAAGAGTGCCTTCATGCATGCATATGAAATCATCGAAATAATTCTCAAACCACTGTGCAAACGTTGCCTCAAAATAATTATGCACAATCATATAAAATTGATTAAGCAAATTGTTTTCTTCTCTTCCCTTGCTCCATTTTTTTTTACTTTGTCCTACACTTCTTATTTTCTCCCAACAAATCAACCTGTCCCAGTGAAAAGTGCTCATATGCACTCCACACACAATACATTTAACTCTCATGATCCACATACATGGATCTGGCAATTCTCCTTGTACTTTATTTATAGATGTTCAGGAGACAAACTTAACATATAAATCAATTTTAAATTTTTAATTGGAGCCATCCAAAAATAAAAAATTTGTAATTAATTATTAAACCTAAATTTATCAAAAAATTAAAGGATACTTTTTATGCATCCTATAATATTCTTATTTTAAATTTTTACTTATCATGGCAGAACTATTGAATCAAATTCTAAAAATCATCCCAATGACTCAATGATGTGGTAAAGGGTATCATTCATAACATAGATCCAAACTGATCTCCCATAGCCCAAAGGGTTGAGCACAATGCAAGCACAACAAAACTGCAATGACACCTAAAATTAACAACTATGAGGAATTCTAAAGAATTTATATTGCACAGCAAAGTGGATAACCTAAAACTGAGAGCGCACCTACCAACAAATCATTGTACCCCCAAAGTGATCAGATCATCATTCAAAATAATCAATGATACAACCTGAAATAGGAAATTGTGTAACAAGAGATCGATCATCCAATTATCTCCAATACTACTTCCCACAACCTAAGCTCCTCTTTATTTTGAAGCCGAGCCTATAAACAAAAAATAACAATTCAGCCTCCCAAAATCACATTGCTCCAACACATATGATAAGTATATTGAATTTTCAGCCAATCAAAGTTGCAACCTAAAATACAAAGTCCACCCACAAAATTGGCTTCATAGCAACAAAAAAAATTCTTAGAAACTTGAATACTTTGACATCTCCTGAAAGCGTACATCATGTTCTATGGATAGCACTCAAAGATGTAAGATTCTTCTTAAGGCATGGTACATGCTTTCTTTCAGTCAATCTTCTAATGACACCATCATGCATCCTCAACTTCATAATGCAAAAACTAACTGAATTTCATTTTTACACGGTTAACTATATAAATATAACTGGTACTGCATAGATCATGAATAGAAAATAGTTCCTTTTGAGAATAAAGATGGTACAAAGAAGTAAAATTCAAAATTCATTAATTAAAACATTTGTCGAAAGCAATTAACAAAAGAGTGCCATCAAAATCTACACCTGAATGATCAGCGACATCACTAGCATTTGCTGACTCATCCTCAAAGCTGTTATTGGCAAGATGTGTCATCCTTTTCAAAGCATGACATTTATCTCAGTGTAGGTTACACACATTCTCGAAAGGTCTCTCCTTAACAAGTAATCCTCTAGCAAGGCTTTTATTTTCTATAGCCTTAAGTTTAGAGATCACAATATTAGAAAAAGTGAATTTTAAGAATTTTTAAGCAAGCTATATATGTACCATACAACAGAGTGTCACAAACTAACTTGTAAGGAGGTAAAAGCATAAGGTGAGTAAAGGTTGACACTCATTATCAACCATCACATTAATATTCTCTCCTATACTGTATTTCTCTCCTAAAACAATCCTCCATTCCATCCCTTTCTCTCGCTCTCTCTTTCTTATCCTTCTCACACAGACCCTCATAAATTGGGAGAAGCAAGCAACCCTAGCAAGATCTCTCTCTCTCCCTCCCTCCCTCTCTCTCTCTCTCTCTCTCTCTCTCTCTCTCACACACACACACACACACACTTTCTCTGTCTCTCTAAATTTCTTCAATAAACCAAAAGACTCCATCTCTTTCTTATCTCTAATTCTTCCTTCCTTTAGTTCTCTTAATTCCAAAGAAAAGAATCAAATGCATTTTAAGAAATGAAAGAAGAATAAAATCAAGAAAGAGATCAAAAAATTCAACATCTCCGTGACAATGCCTCAAAAAAAATATATATCATTACATTTGATCATTGTCCTATATCAATAAGCTATAACTCGTAATTGTCCTCTTAAACATGCTTTCCCTCATATGTCTTGATAACATTTCCTTTTGATCCTATGCCAATCATCCCTTCTCGTTCTAATGATTGACATTTGTGATGAAACAATAAGAAATGTGGATAAAAAAGGATTTGCATATTTGACATATGCTATTGTCGATAAATCAACTGCATGATGGAGTCATTTTGTCATATGCTAGTTCATCTTGTCTCATTCTATCATGATACACACCTGATTGTTTTTCAATCCCAAACACAATTTGAACTTTAAATGGAGTGCCAAGAAGTCAACCTTCACAATAAAAAAGGCTCAATTTAAGTTTATTTATGCAACCATAATATCAACTCTTTGCAAATTTAAAGTTTGGAAGTCTAGCTGTAAATAATTTACTTGAAAAAAGTAGATTTTATTTAGTAAATAAGACTACGTCTTATATGTGGAGCCATCTTGAGCTATGAAGTTGAGAACATAAGAAAACCACTGTCATTATTTTTCTTTAGCATATGTATCACATAAATTAATGACCTTTTCTGCATCATATAGCATGAAGTTATATTTCTAGTAGTCCGACATATAACTAGGGAGGAGAAACAACTACCTTCTTCATTTAAAGAAAAGGGGTTAAAGTATGAATGCAATGCTAACTCCTGTGAAGGCAGCATTAGACGTAACAGGTCCCAAATTCGAAGGACATTGCTTTCACAAAAGTAAAACAGCAAAGGAAAACCTGCAATTCTCTGACAAACTTTGCAAGACTTCATTGTATCCATGAATCCAAGTAATGTTAATTACAGTTCATGACTTCTTTTTTAAATTTTATTTTTATCATTTAAGAGGATCTGAAAAACAAATAAAAAATTAAGTTTATTCTAGAATTAACTCAATTCTAATCCAACATGACACCGAACCAAACAGGCCCTCAAGCGAAAGTTGAGGTATTAATGAAGTTCCTAGAAACCAATAGGTGGACTTCATAGAATCATTTCCCCATCCGTATTTATGTATAGGTCCCTATGCAAAACGAATCAAGCACACACCAATCTCTCTCGAGCAGTATCAGCACGAAGATCATTTGCTCCCTTTTAAATCATCCAATTATTTCACTGTACGGAGAAATGCAAAGCGTCCAACAAACTGCAATAAAAAGGTGTCCATCACCATTCCATTTTTAATTATCGTGCCACGTCCACTAACATCGATCTTTTCCAGGCATTGCTAATTCCAAATCGAGAAAGGCGTCAAGATAATAACATAATTCTAAGAGAAATCAAAGACGCTAAATCCCCAACATCTGTGCATAAACGGCTATACGGGCAACACGTCTAGAACAAATCCATTAATTACCCAAACTCTTACCATCTAAACCAATTTCAATAGCTGTTCAGTTACTTCGCACCAGCACGAATCCTCGTAAGACAAACTAATTCACTAAAAAAAGCAGATCATTATGAAGAAAAACGCCAGAAAGTTGTCACAAAATCGAAATACATACCATCAGCTTCCCCACGGCGGCGGTCTGCTCTGACGCAGCTGGCGGCGGCGTATCAGTGGGAGCATGGGCAGGGAGCGGCTTGAAAGCTAGCGAAGAGGAGAGCAGCGGGTGACGGACACCCAAAAATGAGAGGACCTGGGACAAGGAAGGGGTCCCCTTGACGATCTGCCACAAAATCCGGAAAACGAAACTAAACCAGCTCATCAGCGTCCTCCAGACCTGCAGCGTCCTCGTACTACTCGGCCCAGAGGCGAACACCTCCGATGCCGCGAGCTCAGACATCTTTCCCTCAGGTATAGAAGTGAGAGATTGTGGAATAGCTAGAAAAAAGAATAGCAAGACAGAAAAACAACTCCGGCGAGCTTAAGAGACTCAGACGGAAAACTCGGCAAAGCTTCGGCCGTGGAATGGTGGCTCCTCCGGCTATCCGGAAATCTTGAAAAAGCTGGGATGGAGAATTCCTGAAGAGAGAAAAACGGGCCTTCTCTGCTTCTCTATTATCCAAATGGGTTTATTCCCCGACCTTTCCCTGAGCGACTGGTTCGAACATCCACACTGGCGTTTTAATATTTAATAATTTTGTAGGCTTTTTTTTTTAATAAATAATAATTAAAATCATTCTTCTGGCATTTTGCTCCACAAAATAAGAATAAATTATTATATACAGACACCATATGTAGAAATATATGCGGTGTCCAATCTTTACTGTTCATCAATATTTAAAAAAAATTAAAAATGAAGCCCACCAAAATACATCTTTGCGGTGATGAGCAGTGTATATCGGACCTCGTATGCATTTCTGCATATGGTGCCCATTTGAAATAATTTTTTCAAAATAAAAAGGCATGTCTCCCTCAACATCCTACTCTTTAAACCATAAATTGTCTCTCTTCCCCTTTAAGAGATTTTAATTTTCATATTTAATGTAAGGTTTAAAAAGTATATACTTTCGTAATAACCCATCTTTGTAGAAATAATATAATCAATGAAATTTTTTTACATTGGATTTTGTTCTTGAGGTTGGAAGCTTTGTGGTCCAAACTCATTCTCACATCATAGCCACATTACACATCTCTCTCCAAATTTAGAATCCTCCCCAAAATCGTTGGTCTTCCATACGAACAAAATCTCCATTTGTTTGAGGTACTTGTTTGAAGTAATGTAAACAAGCAAATTTTCCAAAAGTTAAATAGAACGTAATCTAAGAAACTTATAGAGGCCAAAAAAGGAATATTCATCAAAAAATTATATTATATTTGATATGTGCCAATAGGATCTACTCATAGATTGTGAACTCTTAGAAGAATGAGCCCTCATTTCATTACCACTTGAAGGCAATAAAATTAATAAAGAGGGACGTGAATTGAATTATTTAAAAATAAAAATAAAAATTTTATATAATTATTCATAAGAGGACTTTTATGATGAAGAAAATTGATTATGAATATCAAATGACAAATAATTTCAATGGCAATAAAGTAAGGCGATTAATTAACACAAAAAATGAAAGTGGACACTATAAATTAATATATAGTGGTTCAATCACTCCATGTCATGTATTTAGTCTGTGATTTCTCCTATCAAAAAAATATATCTCTCTCACAATAACAAGTAGAGAATATTAGTTCATAATTTATCTTTAGTGATTCATGGAGCCACCCAACTTCATTTCTAAGTGAGAAGTCATATGCTCCTAACATGAACCATCACAACTTCCAACATCAAGGCTTGAAATTGACTACTATTACAATTCACTAGGTATCCACTTTATGACCAAAAAATATTTTAATATTGAGATCTAAAGTGTTTTTTTGTAAACCAACTCATAAATCTCTTAAAAAGAAATTTGTAATTATACATAAGTTATGATAAAGAGTGAGAATTACTTGCATAATTAATATTTATGCTAATTATACTTCAATGTCAACTCATGAGCTATCAATGGTATTTAAACGCTATTACCGATGTTAATCTTTAATAATTAACTATTGAAATTACCATAAAAATAAGAGTGAGAATTACTTGCATAATTAATATTTATGCCTAATTATACTTCAATGTCAACTCATAAGCTATCAAGGGTATTTAAAACACTATTACCGATGTTAATCTTTAATAATTAACTACTGAAATTACCATAAAAAAATAAAAATTATAAAATAGATGTTTAGAGATTACTTGGATGTTCATATTGTATGATATGCAACATGCCATATAATCAAAACATTTTTAAATAGATTAAGATTATATTATATGATTTTCATCAAATGTTATAATCAATAAATAGATTTAATTATATAATAAGAATTCTACTCTAAGAAAATAATAATAATAGAGTTGGGGCCTTATATCCTAACTTTGCACAAATTTTCGGCTCACAAAAAGATAAATGAGCAAATCACAAGAAACAACAAAAAATTTTATATGAAAAATTACAAAATAAAAAAATATTGCATGCCCTATCTCAATAT